AAAAAAAACACAAAAAAAAAAAAAAAAAAAAAAAAAAAAAAAAAAAAAAAAAAAAGAAATAAAGTACAAGAAGGCATATGTGGTCATCAGAGAAAGAGAGCACCTTGCGGTGGGGCACTGTCACTCCTCCCATTTCTCTGCCCCGATAGGATTTGGGGCGTACATGCACACATGTGCCTGATGTTTTTCAACCTGCTGGGCCAAGGATCCAAATCACAGTGTGCCATGTGGGATCCGGCTCCCTATGCACTATGACATGGGGCTGGCCGCACCCACATGATCCCAATGTGCAGCTAATAAGAGCTACTGTCCTAAGGTCCTGGCCTTTGCTGAATTCCCTAACCTCACTCTCCACTAGACAGACAACCCAGCCTGAAATCATTATCACCTGCTGTTCTCATGCCTGGGTCTTGGAAACTTACTTGCAGGGAACCAGCAGTTAGCATAATGGCTATGTCGCTGGACTCCCACGTAGTCGACCGCGGTTCGCGTCCCAGACCGGGTGGCTTAATACTCATGCCGGGCACGTGTGCGTACGTGCCCAAGATCCCAAGAGGAGAATGGATGAGAAGGGATTGCAGTGTGGGGGGTGATTTCTCGCTTTCTGTCTCTCTCTGTCTGTTTGGCGAGCACACGCACCCTATAGTGGAAAAACCTCTCAAAAAAAAAAAAAACAAAAACAAAAAGGAAACTTACTTGCAGGGTTCACTCACTCCCTCTTGGCACTCAGGTCTCTATGAAATGTTATTTCCTCAGAAGGAACCTTCCCTGGCCTAGGGTGACCCTTACCCTGCGTCACTTCTCTTGGTCAGTGGTTGCCCACGCACTTGAAATGTAATCACTGTCTGCCCCCATCAGAATCAAGCTTCAGTTGGGGATTTTTAGTATTTGCAGTTACCACTGCATCCCCAGCACATGGACATCTGCCATAAGATCTGGGCTCAGCAAATATTAGATGAGCCAACTGTCTGCTGATGACTCTTTACCCCTCAGGTAGCTCATGTATCCCATACAGAGGGACAGGCCACACTACTGCCATCTTGAAAACATCATCCGTAACAGAGACACAGGTATAACATGGGCCCAACCTCTAGAGTCGTAAAGATGAAAATAACTTAATGTACACAAAGCACTTCATATAATACCCTCCCAGCCATAACCTGAATGCAATTATTCACACGCAGGGGAATGAGTCCCCTCTCCCCACTACTTAGGAGAGAAGCTACCAGCTTAGGCCTATGAGACGCTCAACCCAGTTCTAACAGAATGGAGACCCAGGAAATGCGGGCATGGGGTGCAGTGGTGTGAGTATAAACTTGCAGTCCCAGATACTCAAAACACATCTCAATTCATTTCAGGTCTTGGGCCTCTTAGTATCTATCCCTCAGGAAAAAAAAAAAAAAAACTCTACTTGTTCACACATGCTTTTCTTTTTTTTATTATTTATTTTATTTATTCATTCATTTATTTTTTTAGTTTGACCAGAGAGAGACAGAGGGTGAGAGTGAGAGAGAGAGAGGAAGTGAGGAAGCAAGCCACCAGATTCAGAACTCGAACCCTGGTCGCTCATGTGGAAGTGTCCAGCGACTTCACCACGCTACCTGCTGGTCCCCTGCAATACTTTTCTGGTTAGTTTTGGGTGGGAGGTCCACAGACCTCTTAGTTTAAAATCCACTCCCCTCCCGGGAACCAGCAGTTAGCGTAATGGCTATGTCGCTGGACTCCCATGTAGTCGACTGTGGTTCGTGTCCCAGACCCGGTGGCTTAAAACTCACGCCAGGCGCGTGTGCGTGTTTGCCCAAGATCCCGAGAGGAGAATGGAGGAGAAGGGATTGTGGCGTGACCATCCCCTCTGGGGGGGTGACTTCTCGCTTTCTGTCTCTATGTCTGGTGAGTGCATGCACCCTATAGCAAAAAAAAAAAAAAAAAAAAAAAAAATATATTCCCAAATCATGACCACTGTCAGTGTGTACACAGCCCCATTATCTCCTAGATGATAGCAACAAACACCCCCTGACATGCCTGCTTCCACCCTAGCTCCACTAAAGTCTTTTTCTGGAGAGTTTTTTTTTTTTTTTTTTTTACTATAGAGCGCATGAGCTCGCCAGAAAGACAGAGAGAGACAGAAAATGAGAAATCACCCCCCCCTAGGGGGGTGGCTATGCAGCAATCCTTCTCTTCCTCTCTCCTCTGGGGATCTTGGGCATGCACACACACACGCTCCTAAGCGTGAGTTTAAGCCACCGGGTCTAGGACTTGAACTGCAGTCGACTACATGGGAGTCCAGCGACACAGCCATTATGCCAACTGTTAGTCCCACTCCACTAAAGTCTTTTACAACAGAACCAAGTAAGTCCCTTTTAAAAATATTGGTCAGGGTCAGCCTGTAGCACAGTAGTTAAACCCAATGCATAAGCCAGAGCTCATATGGCAGAATGATGTTTGAATCCCAGCCCCAGGGGCTTGAAAAACATACTGGATGTGTGCCCAAAATACTAATGCAAAATCTTGGGGGTGCTTTCTCTTTCTTTCTGTCCCTGACATGTGCACACACTTTCTGGCAATTAAAAATAAATGAACAAGGGATCAGCAGTTGGTGTAATGGCTATGTCGCTGGAATCCCATGTGGTTGACGGTGGTTTGAGTCCTGGACCCAGTGGCTTAAACTCATGCTGGGCGCATGTATGTGCGTGCCCAAGATCCTGAGAGAATAGAGAAGGGATTGTGGTGTGGCCATCCCCTCTGGGTGGTGATTTCTCGGTGATTTCTTGCTTTCTGTCTCACTGTCTTTCTGGCGAGCGCACAAAAACCTCCCCCCCCCCCAAAAAAAAGAACAAAAGTATCAGACTGTATCATGCCCCTATTCAATATCTTCCAAAGGCTTCCTTTCTCACTCAAACTAAAATCTTTACTGAGGGGCTGACTTCTGACAAGACAACTTCTCCAACTTCTCATTCTACTATGAGACTGAGGTCTGGAGGTAGATGGCGTATCCTCCATTCCTGGGGGAATCAAAGCTGCCCACAGGTAAGATTGGGTCTCAGTGGGAGAGTTATATAGTCTAGTACTCCTTACCTCACTTAATCAAGAGATCTTCAAACACTGAAAGGAAAGGGAGCTAGGGAGAGAGATATGGATCCATAAATCCCCCCTGCCAGTAGACCCCCATCCCTACACACACAAAAGAAAGAAAAAAGCTTGTATTAGGGAAACAGACCTTTCTACTAGGGCAGAAGATTGCCCAAATTCAGCAGAGCAAGTTCTCATGCAGGAGGGATGGGGGTAGGGCAGGCCTGATTTAGGAAGCACTTAGACACCCAGGTTAAGGATCCTAATTTTATTTCCCTTCGGAAAGCTAAAGATAACTGTAAGAGCCAATACTATTAAACGTCAAACACTTTGCTATTTTTAAAAAACATGATTTTGCTTAATTCTGACTGGGTGCCATTTTATTGCCAAGAAAACTGAGGTTCGGAGAGGTAAAGCTGTCTGCCTAAATCACACAGTAGGCTGAGAAACCAGGTCAGAATTGAAACGTCAAACTGAGGTTCTTCTGCCAATAGTTCTCTGATCTCTGCACCATGGCGGGATAGGTGGGTTCATCAATATCTCAGGGAAAGTCAAATGAATAAATCACTGATGCCCGGTTACACACACACCCCGCCCCCACTCCCCCTCGCGAATCCTGGCCTTGTAAAGTATGGTCTTACCGCGGACTCGGCCCGGAGACTCCACTGCATCCCCAGGGACCCGCCCCCGCCCCCGAAAAAAAAAAGTGTAGAGAGCAAGCAGGAAAGTGGGACAGAGAGGACTGCACACAATCAAGCGGGAAGTCCTCATCCATTCTGGCTCTCTGAGAGAACGTGGGTTGGTGGCCAAGGGGACAGTGGTGACGGCGGCGACTGAGGAAGCAAATGGGGGTTTTTCGAGACTCAAGTCCCGCAGCCAAGATCAGAGACTCTTAATCTCGGATCCAAGCCCAAAGACTCCAGATGCCTGGATCCAGACTCTGGGTCAGGAATCTCGACTGCTGCCCTGGGTTCAATATCCAAAACCCCAAGGGCAGCCTCAAAGAGACGAAACCCCCCTCTGGATCAAGCCCAAGGTCCTTGACTCAAAAAGGCGACATCTGAAGCTAATCACAAACCTCTAGGTCAGGAACTCGAACCCGGAGCACAGGAGCGATCCCAGGACAGAACCAGCAACCCCTCCCAACAAGAAACCAGATCCCGTGCTCAGAACCCCCATCCCAGGCCAAGACCTCCCCGCCCCCGATTCCAGCTTGGCACTAGTATTCCCGCCTGGCCCCAAGCCCTAATCTTAGACCCCAAACCCAGCCTGTACCTGGCTTCATGACGAGCGCTGAATTGCGCGGCTAGGAAGTCTGCAGCGTCCCGGACTCCACGCGTCTAGGCTTTCGCACGTGGAAGAGAGCGCAGGCGCGCGGCGACGTACGGCGGGTGACGCAACCGCGTAGCCCCGCCCCCGGTGCCCTGCCCCGCCTAGAGCTTGGTGAACGCGCAGTGGGTGGGATTCTCCTCTCGGGAGTCTGCGCGCTCCGTTTGCCTAGTGTTCTCTACCCCGAACGCGTTGCCCGTTTCCTTTTCACAGGTGCGAGTACCCGAGTAATCAGGGCTCATAGCCCCGGCCTTAGCATGGGTTGTGTCCTCTGCCTCTCTAACGTCCTCAGGGGCCCTCCTCCCCCCCAAATTTTCCCTGTCCCATTTCAATCTCCAGGGAAAAGGACCTGCTCTGGACTCCTACTCATATATGCAAAAAACATCGTGCACTTTGTATGTTCCAGGCACTGTTCTAAAAGCTGGAAGTACAGAGGTGAGGAAGATGTAAAAATTCACACTTTCCTGAACTCATTTTTTAAAAAAGGACCTAAAAAAAGTGACCTCTGAAGCTAGTTACAAACCTCCAGGTCAGCAGTTTTTTTTTTTTTTTTTTTTTTTTTTTTTTTTTTTAATGAGCTCCACTAAAGTGGGGGAAACTGACAGTACACTAGTTAGTAAATGTTAAATGTTAGACACTAGTAAGTGCTTTGGAGAAAATAACAGCAAGGAAGGGGGATAGGGTTGGTTGAGGAGGAATTTTTTTATTTTTGGAAAGGTTTTTGCTATAGGGCGCCTGCACTTGCCAGAGAGGCAGAGAGAAACACAGAGACAGAAAGCGAGAAATCACCCCTCTTCCCAGGGGGAATGGCCATTCCGCAATCCTTTCTCCTCCATTCTCCTCTCAGGATCTTGGGCACGTACGCACATGCGCCTGGCGTGAGTTTAAGCCACCGGGTCTGGGATTCGAACCAGGGTCAGCTATCTGGGAGTTCAGCAACATAGTCATTACGCTAACTGCTGGTCCTGAGGAGGGATTTTTTTAATAGTCAAATGCATTAGGTGATTTAGCAAAATTCTAAAGGTGGTGAAGAATGTGGCATGTACTTACATAGGGGCATAGAGTTCTTGGCAAGGAGAACTGCAGGTGCAAAGGCCCTGAGGCAGGCAAGATTTGAAAGGCTGGAGAAACAGCAATGTGGTTGGGCAGAGTGAGCAAGGGTGGGAGCGGAGGGAATGAGGGCAGGTGGGTAACAAGGGCTGATTGTGTGGAGACTGTGGATCATGGTGAGGACTTTGGCTTTCACCCTAAATGACGTGGAACCATGGAAGTGTTCTAAGCAAGGAAGGTGCATGATCTGATACTGGGTTACTTTGGCTACATATGCCAAACAAACTGTAGGAGGTGAGGGGCAGGGAGCAGAAGACCAAGGAGGTCTAACAGGCCAATGGGTGCTCAGTTAACATTTGTTGAATGAATAAAGTATATTGTTTTTTTTTCTGCACAATGTCACCCATTTGCACAGAAACGATCCTGAAAATTTATTTAGATATGAAGATGGAAAATCTACTTAAACTTTACAAAACTATGGGATGAAGGAGCTGAATCTATTCTGGATTTCTAGGGCCTGTGCTATAATTCAAATGGATCCAATTCAGGGTATCATTACCTATTTCTGTGTATTTTACTGTTTGCCTTCTAATTAATTTTTTTCCTAAAGGATGAAAGTACTCAGAGTACAGTGCAGATTTTGGCTTGCCAGCCCTATGTTTTGGAATCCTGGCACCATCTCTTGGCTCTGAAGTGCTTCACCTGCCACCGTGCTCTGCAGACCTGGAATTGGCACTACCAGTGAGTAATTAATGGCTGTCTACTGGCCTTGTTTTGGGACACAGTGTGACTGAACCAGTCCCAGAGTTTCTAGTCCGGTGGGGAAGACATTGGTTCCCAGATAGTTCAGCCCACAGCGGTCAAGGCTGTTATAGGAAAGCACTGTGGGCTTTTCCTCAATGTCCTCTATATCCATAACTCCTTCTCAACCTTCATTTAACTTTCCTGCTCCAGTCCTGACCTGGCTGTCTCCTGAAGACATATGCTTTTCCATACAGCAGCAGCTGTTTTCTCCTTATTGGCTCTCATGCCTGCTGAGCTTATAGATGGAATAAGTTCCTCTTCCCTACTCACTGCCATTTCTAAAACATTCTCTCTGCCTCTTCTCTAACCCTTAACTTTGGAGCTTACTATATGAGGAGTCATATATTTATGACTTACTATATTTGGAGTCACTATATGAGGAGGGTCTTCAAAAAGTTTATGGAGAACATGTATTATGAAAAAACTATGTAAAATCTTTGTACCAAAATAAACTCTAATTTCATCTTACAAGAAATTTTGAAGCCTCCTCATAGCACTCCTCCCATTCTCATTACCAGTGGCTCCAAAGTCACTTTCACTCACTTTGCGATTTTAGCTCTGTGCTCATCGCCACCCACATTGCTCTCTTCTCATCCTTCTTAGTGATTCCTGAACTCAAGTAGATGATCCTTTGACCATTCTGGCCGCTTGGTGTCTTGGCCTCCCCTCATCCAGTGACCTTTCCCTCCATCCAACCCTTCTTCTTGATGGTCACACTTAGACCTTGTGCTGGAGAAACTAGGTGACTGTGATAGCTTCAGAGGTCCCAGCCCAGTAGAAGAGAAAGACAGTAACAGCCCCCAAACCACAATCCTACAGAATCTCAGTTCCATGTATTTCACTTTCTGCCCATCACCTCTTGTCTCTCTAGCTCAGTGTCAGTCCACTAAACGTGACCACCTTTTCACTGTTCCTCATGCCCTCATGATCACACTTTGCTCACCATCCAGCCAGATTCCACACCCATCATTATCACCATGCCATTAGCACCATGTGCTCACACCCTCTAACTAGGCACTGGATTATTTTCTTTCATCTCTTTTAATTTGTCAGAGGGCACATGTGCTTGCTAGAGAGAAACATAAAAGATGGAGAGAAAGAGAAAGGGAATGCAAATAACTTGCTAGGGTTGTAAGTGATAGAGCCAGAATCTAGGCTCAGCATGGTGGTGCCATCAGTAGCAAACTGAACTGCAGTGCCAGAAGCCACATGATCAACCATAGATTCAGATCCCCAGGTCAGTCTGGAAACCCACAAGGTACACAATGTACAGTGCCCAACATCCTGGTGAACTGGAGGGCAGGGAGAAGGGAATTGTGGCAATGATAAGACCCTGTCAAGAGTGTGTCTCTCTCTCTTTCACGTGTGTGTGTGCACTATCATAAATAAACAAAAACTAATAAGCCAGAAACTATCTCTCTTCATTTTCTACTCTTTCACTCCTTCCTATTTCCTCCCTCTTCTTTCACTCCTTCTTATTTCCGCCTTTCCCCTCTTTCCTTCCATCCAGTCATTCATCTAGTCTAATTATCTATTTTCTCACCTTCCTATTTCCCCACCCACTCTTTTCCTAATCCAGTCCTCCATCTGCCCATGTAAATTATCCATTCATCCATTCATGCCCCTCAATATTCATCATTTGCCAGATTTCCCAGGCATCTAATGCCTGGTGTGCAGGCAGGAAGCTTAGGAATGAGAAGGGATGAAACAGACATATCGGTATGCAACTTAGGTTAAGATATTTATTCAGCGCTCTCCCATTTGGCTTCAGTGACTCTGCAGAGGGGTAGAGTAGAAAAGGGGCGCACAGTGCATCCTTCTGCCTCTGCAACCTGCAAGGGGATCAGGTCCTGAAGTCCTCATTCCTTGCAGATGATTGATCAGCGGTAACTGCAAGAGAAGAACAGTTAGCACCTCCTCTTGCAGACTAAGTGCCCACCCTGGTTGCCCTCTTCCCCTGAGGATCCAAGTGCCCCTGCCTGGCTTCCATACCCCATCCCTCACCATGGGGAGAAGTCTGGCGCTCTCCATTTCTCTGTCACAGTCTGGGATCCATGTCCATCATTGGTCTGGTCACCATCAAAGTTTCCACAGGCCCCACACAGCATCCCAGCATGGTCATCATTGGCTATCACAGCCAGCTGCCCATCTTTTCCAAGCCATACCTGGATCCCTGCCTTCTGGTGGACTAGCGTGGAGCCATCAGGGGTCCGACTTACGGACACAGATGTTAACACCTCAGCTGGGAGATCCACTTGGAGACCATTCACCTGGCAGGTGGGCAAGCACAGAGGTGAGGCCAGAGCAAGAGAATAGCTGGGATGTTCCCAGGATAAAGACCCCAAGCAAGATTTAAAAACAACTAGAGCAAAGAGGCAAGTGTAAAAGAGATAAAGATCTGAATGGAGGCATTATGTGGAGAGACAGATACATGAGAAGGGACCTGGAACTCTGGATGGATGGGCCCAAGGATGGAGAGTGGATGCTGATTTAGGGAGAGATGGTCCAATGGATTCACACAGCATCCCAAGGTCAGGTGGGAAAAGCTCTTCTTACCAGACAGATGAACAATCAAACCCTAGGTTCATTGTATCTGGTTTTAATCTTTAAAATAAGAGAACCCTTGAGCAAGTCCTGTAACTCATTTCCTAGCAAAAACAACTTTATCCTTTATTTTTGCAATGCTGACATTGGAAGATAAGTAATAACCTTAGCAGATGTAACGATGTGAGAAATTTAGTTTCTTGAGACCAGCAGTTAGCGTAATGGCTATGTTGCTGGACTCCCATGTAGTTGACTGCAATTCGAGTCCCGGACCTGCTGGCTTAAGCTCATGCTGGGCATGTGTGTGTGCATGCCTAAGATCCCGAGAGGAGAATGGAGAATGGAGGAGAAGGGACTGCGGTGTGGCCATCCCCCTGGGGGGGGGTGATTTCTCGCTTTCTGTCTCTCTGTCTCTGTCTGTCTTTCTGGCAAGCGCAGGTGCCCTATAGCAAAAACCTCTCAAAAAATTAGAAATTTACTGTTTCTTTATCTTAGGCTGTGGACTCAGCAACCTTCTGAGTTTTTTCCTTTAAATAACTGTTGTCTATTTTAGTTTAATCCTTCCAAAGTTAGACTCCCTAGTGAACATTCTCTGAAGAAGAGGTTTGTTCCACCCCCCTCCCCGCAATGCTTTTGTATCTGAATCTTCCTCTGGAAGATAATTGGAGAGATAAGTAGATAGGAAAGAGAGGTAAATAGATTTTTTTTTTTTTGGAGAGATTTTTGCTATAGGGTGTGTACCCTTGCCAGAAAGAGAGAAAGATAGAGAGACAGAAAGCAAGAAATCACCCCCCAGGGGGTATGGCCACACTGCAATCCCTTCTCCATTCTCCTCTTGGGATCTTGGGCACACACTCACACATACTCAGCATGAGTTTAAGCCACCAGGTCCATGACTCAAACCGCGGTCGACTACATGGGAGTCCAGTGACATAGCCATTATGCTGCTGGTCCCAGATATTTTTTTTTTTTAAGAGAGATCTTTGCCATAGGGTGCATGTGCTCATCAGAGATACAGAGAGTGACTAAGAGATGGAAAGTGAGAAATCACCCTCCGCCCCCAGGAGGGATGATCATACCTCAATTCCTTCTTCTCCATTCTCTTGGGATTTGGGCATGAGTTTTAAGCTGCTGGGTCCAGGACTCAAACTGTGGTTGACTGTATGGGAGTCTAGTAATGTAACCATTATGCCATCTGCTGGCCCCAAGAGAGGTAGATAGGTCTTAAAAGACAGATGGAGGGAGGCACCAGATGGTGTAGTGGTTACGTTGCTGGATTCCCACATGGCTGACCACTGTTCAAGTCCTGGACCTGGCAACTTAAAAACTGATGTTGGGCATGTGTGTATGTGTGTCCAAGATCTTAGGAGGAGGATGGAGGAGAAGGGATGATAACGTGGCCTTACCCTCTGGGGAGTGATTTCTCACTTTCTGTCTCTCTGTGTGTCTCTGGTGAGCACACACACCCTATAGCAAAAATCTCTCTGTCAAAAAAAGAGAAAAGATGGATGGATAGGTGGATAGATGAGTGGGTGAGTGGATCTAAGGAAGAAGGAAGAGAAGGGAGTGGAAGAGAAGGAGGGAGGAAATAGGAAGGAATAAAAGAGAGGTGGAAAGACAGATGTTGAAAGGAAGGAAGAAAAAAAGAAAGGATGGATGCTGTGATGGATAGATGGGGGACTCACGAGGCTACAAGTTTCAAAGTGTAAGAACCAGGTTTGAGCCATCTCTTACCCACTATAGGGCCTGACACAGAGAGAGCAGGGCATTCATTCACAAAACCAAACTTTTTGTCGGTATCCTCTATGTGCCAGGCCCTGAGCTGGGTACTGGGGACATAGCAGGAACAGTAGCCCCCCCCACCCCCCAGTGAAGCTTACACCCCAGTGATGATAAAAGGCAAAAAAGAAAGGAAGATATTGTTGATAACTTCAGACAGTGATAAACACCATCAAGGAGTAAAAGAAGGTAATAGCATTGAAACTGGGATGGAGTGGGAGACCTTCTTTAAGTGAGTCAGAAAAGGCATCTCTGTAGAAGCAATCCTGGACAAGAAGGAAAATCTGGGAAAAGAACCTTGTAGCAATGGCAACAGCACATGCTAAGGTCCTGTGGTAGGAACAAGCATGGTGTGAAGACCAGCATGGCTGGAGCATTAGCTAGTAAGGAAGGGAGCTATAAGAAAAGAGTTTGGGGCCAGCCTGAAGCACAGTGGTTAGGTACTGCACAGAGGAAGCTAGATTCCATATGGCTGAGCAAGGTCTGAGTCCTGGCCCTAGTGGCTTGAAAAACATGCTTGGTGTGCAGGTACATACCCAGGATCCTGACAGGATAGAAAATTGGAGGAAAAACTATGGCAGCATGACGAGGCTCCATTAGGGAGTTCTCTCTCTCTCTCGTTCATATACATACCCTCTGACATTAAAAAAAAAAAAAGAAAAAAGAAGAAAGAAAAGGAAAATAAATTACAAAAATAAATGAGTTTGGAGAGGCCAGCAGCAGTTAGATCACTCAAAGCCTTGTAGGTCATGGAAGGGAGGTGGCTTGCATTTGGAATGCTGTTCTGGAAAAGCCACTGCAGAGTTTTAAGCAGCAGAATGACCTGATTTGATTCACATTTCTAGAACATCAGTCTGTTATGTAGAGAGTTGCTCCTTTATGGAGAGACAAACAGAGTTCAAGGGTAAATGTCCATTAACTTGAAGTATAGAGCAAGCAGGTGGCCAGAGAAAACAAGTGAGTTGACCAGATCACACTTAAGTGAGGACTTGCATCTCCCTGCTTCCAGCAGAGTGGAGGCTTACACCATCTCCATGCACCTATTGTGGAAGAAGTGTGTTGAGCATAGTCTGCATTGCTCCACTGGCCCCAGAGGACACCAGTGGATGCCTGTGTAATCAACAGAAAGGATGTGAAAATAGAGACATGCTCAGTGGGGACTTTACTACAGGCTGACATGTGTTCAAGCCTTGGGCTGGCCCACGTGGGCCACAGCTGACTACACTATGTGTGGGCATTAGCCTGCAGTTAGGCGAAATTGAGAGATTCTCTGAGAAATTTGGAATTGGGCTGGGAAGAGCCACAAGGCTGGGCAAATGGAAAATAGCTGGAAGGGAGTCAAGGGGCAGAAGAGCGGAACACAGGGGCTGGAAATGGACTGTGTGTGTGTGTGTGTGGGGGGGGTGGGTTGGGGCAAACAATGATAGGCCTGAGAAAGACTTAGGAGAAAGCTGAAGGGCATCTGAAGAAAGAGTCATGTTGGAGTTGACAGAACCTAGAAGTACCTACTTGCACTGCACTTAGATGTATTTTGGTCCCTTCTGTCCACAATTACCACCAGCTACCCATCCCCTTCAAAGTGGTTAAAAACATGGGACAGGTGGGGCCAGCAGTTGGTGTAATGGCTATGTCACTAGATTCCCATGTAGTTGACTGTGGGTCGAGTCCCGGACCCGAGTCCTGGCTTAAACTCATGCTGGGTGTGTGTGCGTGCGTGCCCAAGATCCCAAGAGGAGAATGGAGGAGAAGGGATTGCGGTGTGGCCATCCCTCCTGGGGGGTGATTTCTCACTTTCTGTCTGTCTGTCGCTGTCTTTCTTGTGAGCACACATGCCCCTATAGCAAAAGCTTCTCTAAGTAAATAAATAAATAAATAAATAAATAAATAAATAAATAAATAAATAAATAAAAGAAACAAACAAAAACATAGGACAGGTGAATTTACGGCCTGCACTAACTATCCACTCTCAGAGTGACCTCAGTAAATGATATCATCTTCATGGCCCTTAGCTTCCCCTTCGTAAAATGGGGATAATAATGATCCCTGTCTTGTGAGTATGTAGGGACTAGCTGACCTCTGGTGTGTAAAGTTTCCGTGTAGTGCCTGCAAATCATCCCTGGCTCTAGTAGTCACCCTTCAAAAGAGCCTCCCAGCGATGCCTGGTATTTAGATCCTGAAAAAGTCACCTCCCACTCTGTATCAAGTTTGATTGGCATGACTAATAGGATGCAGAGGAAGTGGCATGCCTCTTCTGAGGTGACACTGCACAAAGACTGACTTCTGTCTTAGGGATGCACTCTCTTTTGGATCCCTCATGTTGGGAAAAGTCATATGGCAAGGAACTGAAGTTTCCTGCCAACAGCTATGTGAGTGAGTTTGGAAGTGGAATCTCCAGTCCTACGCAAGTCTTCAGAGACTGGAGCATGGAGGAGTTCTGGGTGCAGAAAAGGGCCCAATTATGGTGGTGTGGTGGACACAAACATGGTCATGGTCTTCAATTCTCTGTATTCATGCAGAGTGATTTTGCAGCAGACTCTTATTAAGAAATGGACTTTAGGGGCCAAGGGTGGCACAGAAGTAAAACGCAATGCTCTGTGAGACCACCTGGGAAGGTTACTGGGTCGCATCTGAAGACCTTCCTGAGTTTACTAGGCATGCATGTACCCATGATCCAGGCTGGTGGAGGTGGGGTGGATCACGTATCAAAACCTTGGCAAGGGTCCTATATCTCTGTCTCTGTCTCACTCTATGTATTCCTCATTCATGGATTAAATAAGTAAACTCTGAAAAAGGAGGAAAGAAATTGAGTTTAGATCCAGCTGCAGTGGTAATCATGCCAGTGCTTGAGACAAATCTCCATCGAAAACCTTGGCCCAGCAACTGTGATGCAGTGGTAACACTAGTGCCCTGCAGTGCTGGAAGCCACAAGGTGACTAGTCTGGCCTGAAAAACATGCTAGGGCATGGGTGCCCAGGATACAGAGGAGCTGGAGGGCTGGGGAGCCCCATTGGCTGAGGAGTGACAAGACCATCAAGAGTACTTTCTCCTTCTCTCTCTCACTCTCTCACTCTCTCTTTCTTATGTGTATGCACATGCTTTCCATCATAAAACAATACAAAACAAAACAAAATACCCCTGTACTCTGAGACTAATGCACTTCCTTAGCCTGTCCCATGGGGACAAGACTCTTGGAACCTTGTGTCTGGTTTCCTGCGGATTTTGTTCAATGTGCCTTTTCACTTTGTTGATTTTGCTATGTATCCTTTCATTGTCATAAACATTAACGTTAAGTATGATTATATGTTGATTCCCATGAGTCCTTCTAGTGAATCGCTAGAGAGGATTTTGGGGGAACTCTGAAACATCATGTGACCCCAGCTTGACCACTCACAGAATTCTATCTCTAAGCCCACAGTAATTTGTTCAGGGATGGTCAGGTAACCCAAACTGGCCCAGTGAGATGTAATGCTAGACTTTTTTTTTTTTTTTTGGCGAGGTTTTTTGCTATAGGATACGTGTGCTCGCCAGAAAGACAGAGAAAGACAGAGACAGAAAGTGAGAAATCACTCCCTAGGGGGGATGGCCATGCCATAATCCCTTCTCCCCCATTCTCCTCTCAGGATCTTGGGCACGCATGCACATGCGTCCAGCGTGAGTTTAAGCCACCAGGTCTGAGACTTGAACTGTGGTCGACTACATGGGAGTCCAGTGACATAGCTATTATGCCATCTGCTGGTCCCAATGCTAGGTGTTTTGTTGGGATTATTGCCTGCTAAGTATCCAAGCTGGTGGGGTGTAGGCCTGGAGCAGCTGGGGGGGGTCTTTGTCTCTGTGAGGAGAAAGCCTGTCTGAGAATGAAGCTAATTTGGTGAACAGCAAGTCTGATACAGAAGTACAAATTCCTGATAATACTGTAGGGGTACCTGGTTCCAGCCACTTTTGAGGCTCTATCCCTGGAATTTTCAGTTTTGAGGACCAGTAAATTCATTTTTTTCCAAATTTTTTTTAAGAATTATTTTACTTAATTTTCTTTCTTTCCTTCCTTCCTCTCTCCCCCTTTCTCTCTTTCTCTCTTTCTCTCTCTCTCTCTTTCTTTTTCTTTTTTTGGAGAGGTTTTTGCTATAGGGCGCGTGCGCTCGCCAGACAGACAGAGAGAGACAGAGAGATAGAGAGCGAGAAATCACCCCTGAGAGGGGATGGCCACGCCGCAATCCCTTCTCCTTCATTCTCCTCTCGGGATCTTGGGCACGCACGCACACGCGCCCGGCGTGAGTTTAAGCCACCGGGTCTGGGACTCGAACCGCGGTCGACTACATGGGAGTCCAGCGACATAGCCATTACGCTAACTGCTGGTCCCTCTTTCTTTTCCTTTGATGAGAGAGAGGGGGAGAGAGAGAGAGGGGAGAGAGAGAGAGAGAGAGAGAGAGGGGGGGGGGGAGAAAAAAGGGGGGTGGAGAGAGAGAGAGAGAGAGGAAAAGTGATAAAACAAGCTGCCAGGTCCATGACTCAAACCACGGTTGGCCATGTGGGAGTCCAGCGCCCTTAACCACCACACCATTTTCCAAACCCCCCAGTAAATTAATTTTTGTTTAAGGCAGTTTGGATTTCATTTTCTGTCACCTGTGAATAATGGAGTTTTGATTATTACTAATATCATGACTATTAGGTTACTTGAGTGTGTTTTTGTTCCTCAAGAACTCAGCCAAAACTGAGGGACTAAGTTTGAAATATTGAGACAAACACAAATCGAGAGACCAAACCGCAGAGATCTAGATGAAGAAAAAGCAAGACAGACAGGCAACCAGGAAAGCAGGGAGGAGCAGAAGCCCAGGGAAGACATCCCCTGCCCACATGCCCAGGCTTACCCACACGCCCTTGTTCAGGGTCACAGTCACTATTCCATCCTGGAAGAAGATGTGGACCTGGCCCACAGCCTTGACTTTACCATCGCAGGCCTGGACATCAGCAACTACCCGGTACCAAGGGATGGTCTTCTGCAGTCCTGGGCAGCGGGAAGAGAGCTCATAGATGCCAGGAGAGCTGATGGTGCTATGGCCCCTATCAAAGGTGGTGAGGTTGGTGCCTACAGAGAGGGAACAGATACCACGGGGGACCCAGCAGTCCCGGGCTCCAGCTTGGACCTCACATACGCGGCCTGGTAGACAGCCAGCTGCCTGGCATGTCAGGCCTCTGCTTGAGGAACAGGAACAGCGTTCGCTGCAGTCTGAGGTCAGCAGGGAGGAGTTCACCTGTGTACAGAAAGGGGCTGAGTTATGGTGGTGTGATGGATACAAAAATGGCCATAATCCTTCAACCCTCTATACTCATGCAGAATGATTTTGCAGCACAGTTTCATTAAGAAATAGAGTTTAGGGGACCAGCAGATGGCATAATGGTTACATCGCTGAACTCCTACATGGCCAACAATGGTTTGAGTCCTGGACCCAGCAGCCTCAAACTCACACCGGGTGTGTGTGCGTGTGTTCTCAAAATCCTGAGAGGCGACTGGAGGAGAAAGGACTGTGGCGTGTTCATCCCCCCAGGGGAGGATTTGTTGCTTTCCGTTTCTCTTTCTCTGTTTTTCCAGTGAGCACATGCACCCTACAGCAAAAATCTATCTTAAAAAAAATGGAGTTTAGGCCTAGCTGTGGCAGCACAAATGATAGGGCATGGCTATGCAAGGCTAGGGCCACTTAGGAGGCTCAGGCTCAGTTGCTGAACCAATCTACACAGGCCAGAAGCAGAGGTATGTGCCTGTTATCTAAGCTAACTGGGAGGCTGGGGCAAGAGGATCATGATATGGTGAGACTCTTAAAAATCGCTCTCTCTTTCTTTCTGTCTATCCCTCATTGAAATAAAATGGAGTTTATTTCCCATGCCCATGAATCTGGGTTGGCCTTAAGACTATGCTTTGGTCAGTAAATACAGCAGAAACAATGCAGTTGTAGTTCAAAGTCCAGATTTCAAGCCTCCATCTCTCTGTCTCTGTCTTGCTCTTAGAACCCAGCCTAGCCACTATGAGAATAAGCCTAGGCTAGCCAGTGGAGGATGAATCACTATGTGGTACAGAGACATCTGTCCAGCTCAGACTAGATCAAGTAGCCCTTAGGTGACCTTGAGATATATAGGTGAGCCTAGGGGACAGCAGGAAAACCACCGAGCTGAGTTCAGCCCAACTACAGTGACAAAATTACAAACTAAGTAAACAGTTGTTGTTTTAAGCTACCGCACTTTAGAGTGATTTATAATCCAGCAAAAGCTAACTGATACCAGTAAAGGTGGGCATTGGGGACATACCAGAATCCTGGCATCCACAGCTCAGAACACAGGGCCCTGGAAACCCAATCCTCTTAGTTTTCTCCTACCTGAATGGCTGCTCCTTCTCATTTTCAGGTTCCTCCTCATCTTCTAAATCCTTAACAATTTTGACCAAGTGTTAGTTCTCAGCCTTTTTTCTTATTTATTTATTATTGTTACTGTTATTATTTTCAAGTTTTTCATGTGTGCTCAAACAAGAGAGAGAAAGAAAGTGAGAAAGCAAATCACTAGGTTTGGGACTTGCACTGCAGTCGGCTATGTGGGAATCCAGTGCCTCAATCACCATGCCACCTACTGGCCCCCAGACTTTTTCTTCTCTAATTACATTTGCTACCTGGTGATTTCATCAAATCTCATATAAACTAAAAACAGTGTCCAATTCTTAATTAGACTCTGAACCAGAGAGAGGTACATGTTATAGAAGACATTACTGGGACATGTGGTGAAATTTCAATAAAACCTGTAGATTATTGAATCTTTTTCTTTCTAAGAATTATTTTACTTAACTTTATTTAATCAATTTTAAAAAATTTGAGCAGAGGGGGGCAGAGAGAGAGAGCGAGTGAGAGCAAGCCTGTCGGTATGGGTTGGCCAATGTGGGAGTCCAGCGCCCTTAACCACCATGCCAACTGCCTGCCCTAAACCTATAGGTTTAATAATAATCTAATAATTTTGAATCAATAATAATTTCTTGATTTCAATACGTATACTCTGTATCATATAAATGGATTCCCTTATTCTTAGGACATTCATACTAAAGTGTTCAGAGACAAAGAGGCATTGAATCTGCAACAGAGTTGTATCTACAACAGAGTTGGTAACAAAACCCATTATTTTCAGAGAAAATAATAGATATCTATATTTACTTGGAGAGAGGATGATAAAGCAAACATGGCCAAAGTCAACAGTTGAAGAACATGAGTGAAGGGCAGGTGGGAGTTCTTTGTACTATTGTAATTATTCTAAAGATTGAATTCTTCAAAAATAAAAGTTTGAGAGCTTTTAGAAGAGATAAATAAATGTAATTAGTAGAATAAATACCATCTCTATACTGATAACTCCCACATTTATATCTCTAGTCAGACCTACCCCCTGAATCCCAGACTCACAAATCTATGAAGACTTCCAGGAAAGGCATGGGGGTGTAGGGGGGTTTGAGATAGGGATGCATGAGTAGGGGTTGAAGCCAAAATTGGGAAGCCCAGATCTCAAGCCTCCATCTCTCTGTCTCTATTTCTGTTTTGCTTTTAGAACCCAGCCCAGCCACCATGAGAATAAGCCTAGGCTAGCCATTGGAGGATGAATCACTGTGTGGAACTGAGACATCTCTCCAGCTCAGACTAAATCAGGCAGCTCTCAGGAGACCTTGAGATGGTTAAGCCCAGGGGACAGCAGAACCACTCAACTGAGCCCAGCCTTTGGAGAGGTCAGAAAGAAATAGGAGGCTCAAGGGACTGTGGCAGTCCAGAGGAGGTATGTCAACTGGTCTAGGGGATCATGGTTGGCTTCCAGTAGGTGGTGTGATCTGAAGGAAGTAGAAATTGGCTTCACCTGTAAGTGGCGCAAGTGAGAGCCACTTGCTAATGGGCACCTTGGGCTGACTTCTCTGTCAGTTCCTTTATCTATAAAGTGGGGAAAATAACAATAGTACCTAATCAGAGGACTGTTGTGATTATTAATTGATGGTCACCCACAAGAAACTTGGTGCACAGAAAGAACTCAAAATATACTGCTGACCTATTAAACTTCAGTTCATATTAATAAGTGATTTTTTTGGGATTGGCAGGTGGCATGGTGGTTAAGGAGCTGGACTCCCACATGGCTGACTGTGGTTCAAGTCCTGGATCTGGTGGCTTGCTTTCTCACTTTCCCTTTCTCTCTCTCTCTGTCTCTCTCTGGTCAAATTAAAAAAAATATATAATAGGGGTCAGCAGGTAGCATGGTGGTTAAGGGCAATGGACTCCCACGTGGCCGACCATATTTCAAATCCTAGACCTGGCAGCTTTCTCACTTTCTCTCTCTCTCTCTCTCTCTCTCTTTCTCTGTCTCTCACTCTGTATCTCTCTGGTCAAATTAAAAGAAAGAGGACCAGCAGTTGGTGTAATGGCTATGTCGCTGGACTCTCATGTAGTTGACCGCGGTTCAAGTCCCAGACCTGGTGACTTAAACACACGGTGGGCGTGTGTGTGTGTGCCCAAGATCCTGAGAGGAGAAAGGAGGAGAAGGGACTGCAGTGTGGCCATCCCCCCTGGGGAGGGTGATTTCTTGCTTTTTTTGCCTTTCTGTCTCTCTCTGTCTTTCTGGTGAGCACAAGTGCCCTATAGCAAAAAAAAAAAAAAAAAAAAAAAAAGTTAAAATAATTCTTAAAAAGTAATGAATAGAATTAAATAAATAAGACATTTTTAAAAATAAGTGATTTTTTTTGAGAGGTTTTCGCTATAGGGCGCGTGCGCTCGCCAGACAGACAGAGAGAGACATAGAGACAGAAAGCGAGAAATCACCCCCCAGGGGGGATGGTCACGCCGCAATCCCTTCTCCTCCATTCTCCTCTCGGGATCTTGGGCACGCACGCACACGCGCCCGGCGTGAGTTTTAAGCCACCGGGTCTAGGACGCGAACCGCGGTCGGCTACGTGGGAGTCCAGCGACATAGCCATTATGCTAACTGCTGGTTCCCAAAATAAGTGATTTTTGACTGGGCTACCTATCATGCTGTTACAAAGGCTATTTTTTTCCCTAGTGTGATAATCATGTATTCAGTGATCAGACACCTATGATAGCCCCATCTTGCAGGTAAAGAAAATGAAGTTCAGAGAGGGTTTGGTGGCACTTTACAACAAGGGGACTATAGTAGGCCAAATGATGGCCTTCAAAGATAACAGGTCCTAATTCCTGGAACAAGGAAACATGGAAGGAGAGGTTTGCCAGTGTGATTAAGAATTTTGAGATAAAATATGTATCCTGGATTATCTGGGTGGGTCTCCCTAAAACCTCCAGGGACAGCGCCACCCTGCCAATCAGGATCATTGACTTTAGTCCAATGATCCTGATTCCTGATTTCTGACTTCCGGCCTCCAGAACTGGAGGAGAATACACTTCTCTTGTTTTGTTACCAACTCTGGCAATTTGTTACAGTAGCCATGAGGAATTAATATAGGGATGTCACCAACACTGAGTCACTCAGTGGGAAATGGGGTGGCCACTCTGCTTCCTTAAGGGGGTCAGTGCAGAAGCTCTGAGTCTCTCTTAAGCTCCTTCATCCCCTCTGCCCAGCCCAAGTCCCTACTCACTGGCAAGTATTGGCCGCTGTGGGTGCAGCCACAGTCTTGGATGGGGATGCAGATGCCCTGGGAGAGCAGGTAGCGGTCATCACACTCACAGCCCTCGAAACAGCGGGTGGTACAGCCGGTGAGGCCAGACAGAGCCGCACAGGAGCCCTCGCAGGTGCGCGTGCAGATGGAGTAGTGGCTGTGAGTGGGGCACTGGAGCGCTGCAGAGAGAGCAGGTGGGGTGGAGGTTACCTCTAGGAGGGCAACGAGTATATAATGTATATAATGGGCCCCCCCTCCACACTCAGGCCTGGGTTGGGCAGTGCTGAGGACTCAAGTGGTGAAGGTAGCTGCAAACCCTGTAGGACAGGGAGCTCACATCCAGTGGACAGACAGTGACAGCCCAAGGTGGCCATGCTGCATTAGGGAAGTTAGACACAGGGGTCAGGGTAGAATAGGGAGCACATGCAGTCAGGGCCATGACTGGGAGGCATGGATGGAGGTTGGGGGCAGGTCAAGGCTAGGACAGGAGAAAATGGGGGGCTGGAAAAACTTAGGAGAAACATCAGGATAAGGTCCTGGGCTTTGGCTGAGTAACTGGTAGCTGGTGGCACAGCTGCTCTGAGGAGGGCACTGGGGCAGGGAATGATGGATCAAGCTTAGGGTAAAATGCCTATTTCAGCTGAGAACGCAGCAGGTGTGAGGAACTCTAAGGACAACCAGGGAAAGGTATCCAGGAGGCCACCAGGCCCCTGGGGCGGAGTTCGGGGCTAGAGAGAGAGTGTCCATTGTCAACACAGAGGACAGAATCAAGCCATGGGGTGGATGATGGCCATGTGTGTGGCTTCTGCCCTGAGGAGACTGAAGGAGACACAAGGGGTCACTGCCTGGTACTGAAGAGTCTGAGGACCTGTCCCTGCCCTGGGGATTTAAAGGAGAGGTTCAGCCCTGGTTTGGAAAGCTAACGCCTTGTCCTGCAGGGATATAAAGGGATGGGATCTTGTCCGGGGGTGTCCAGATAAGCCATGGACTCAGGCTTTACTGTGTGGACTTTCACCCCATCTGACCCTGCTGTTCAGGTCACCACAGAATGAGTCCAGGATAGAGCCCCAGGAGAGAAGTGACTTCGAGGTATGAGGTAAGTGAAATCCTGAAAGGAGTCTGAGAAGGAATAGCCCAAGGGGTGGAAGAAAACCAGCAGAGTATGCTGTAGGGGAAAGCACTTCGACAGGGAGAGACTGCCCCTGAGGTGCTGAAAGGAGAAGGAACAGGTCAGAATTCACTCCCAGGGCTTGTCTGGTGTCCTCCAAGGGTCCCATAGAGACTTACGGCAGAAGCTGTCTGTTCTCCAAGGCTTCACGGCCAGGCCGGCTGCTTGGCAGGCTGCTGTGTAGGCTGCCAGGCTGCGGCAGAGGGCAGCTTTATCGCCCTTCTGGGCACACAGGTCATACACGCACTGGCGGAAGTACTCAGAGGGACTCAGCACCGCGTGGCAGGTGGCAAAGGGGCCCTGGGGGTCGCGGAGCTGCCCACAGGCCTTGTTGCTTTCGTATGGTGCCGTCTCTTCTGCTGAGCACACAGGGCAGCCATGAGGCCCGCAGCCCACACTGCAGCCCTGGGAGGAGCCGGGTGCCTGCCATGCAGCTCCAAAGGCCTCCACGCTGGGGGCCACTGCACCACTGGGCAGGACAAAGTCATCGCTCCAGTTGCCATTGAAGTTCCCACAGAGGCCACAGAGCCGTCCATGGAAAGTGCTGGGAATCGACATGAGCACGTGGGCATCGCCATCAAAGAGAAGCCGCAGCCCCTTGGTCGTCTGCAGGATTATGTTTCGACCCTCAGCAGTCACCCGCACGTGGCCCACAGCCACAGGTAGGGTCACAACCTCGTCATCGATGGTGACCTGAGCGGAGAGTAGGTAGGTCAGGGACTCACAGAACCACAGGTAAGGCTGTCCCCTCAAATCTCTGGGGAGGAGCTGTGTCCCTCTCTGTCCTTTAGGATAGTGTCATGTTTCCCTCAAAATCCCGAGGGGGGGACCATGACCCCAGGGTAGAACATTGTCACACTCCCTGATCCTCCAGGTTAGTGTTGTGTCCCTCCTTGCAGAACTCCCAGGTCCACTCACCTGTCCCCGAGCCAGGCCTACAACCTGGCCAGCCACAGTAACCAGCAGGCGCTGTGGGTCTCCAGCTGCATTCTTCTCAAGCACAATGGCAAAGTCCTCATCCCCAGGCTTTGGGCGACAGACTTGAACTAAGATATGGGAGCAGGAGCTATGCAGGTCGTAGACTCGTCCATCGAGGGTGACATAATGGATGCCCCCGCTGGCCAGGCAGCGGCCACAGCCTCTGTGATGACAAGCCTGGACACCATCCTCTAAGCGGCACTCCTCATAGGGCCCACAGGCTGTGCCCTCCTGGCAGGTGACTTGGCCACCTGGTCCACACTCACAGTGCCGCCCGCACTCAGGGCCTGGGTAGAAGGCCTCGCCCAGTGGGTAGTAGCGGCCATCATGGAGGCAGCCACACTGGCCCAGGGGTACACAGGTGTCACCACTGAGAACGTAGCCAGCATCGCAGACACAGCCCTCTCGGCAGGCTGGCTCACAGCCCTCGGGTGCTGAGAGGCTTGGGCAGCTGATAGGGCAGGAGTCACCGCAGAGCTCGTAGTGGCTATGGGCAGGGCACTGGAGGGCTGTGGGGACAAGATGGGTGAGTCAGACAGGTGCCATGGTGAAGGTCAGGGGGAAGTCTTAAGTGGAAGAATCTGCTGGGATCAACCTGGGTGTACCTAAATGGGTGAGGGATGGGACAACTGCCTGGGTGAATTTGATCATGTATAGCTGGCCGGAATATGCAGGATTAGAACCAGCTCTGGGTATCTCTGGATATTACTGTGACTGGGGTTGGGACCAGATCTATCAATACCATGGGGTATGAAGCTGCGTGAGGGTGCTTGGGTGTAAGTGGAGCATCTGCAGAGCACCTGGAGCATCTGCAGAGTTTCTGGAGTGGTCTGTCTCAGGGTGTGACTGATGTGTATCCAACTTGGGTGAAGTTGACAAGATAAATGTGACCAAGGTCTACCTGAAGGGAACTGCCCAGGACAATCTGACTGTGAGTGTGCATGGATCTGCTCTGCCTGAGGCAGAGTCCTGATTCTGACTGGGTGTATCTGACTAGTTTGTCTCAGTGTGTGAGTGCGTGTGTGTGTTGGAAGGAAATACACAAAGTTTGTGGAAATGTGTATTATAGATATAAAAAAAGCATTGATTTAAAAATATTTTGCACCAGGACCAGCAATTAGTGTTATTGCTATGTCACTGGACTCCCACGTAGTTGACCGCGGTTTGTGTCCCGGACCCGGTGGCTTAAAACTCATGCTGGGCGGGTGTGCGTGTGTGCCCAGGATCCCAAGAGGAGAATGGAGGAGAAGGGATTGTGGCATGGCCATACCCCCTGGGGGGTGATTTCTCGCTTTCTGTCTCTCTGTCTCTCTCTCTCTGGTGAGCGCACACACCCTATAGCAAAAACCTACCCCCCCAAAAAATATATATTTTGCGCCAAAAATAAACTCATACTTTAATTCCATTTTTCCACAAACGTTTTGAAGTCCCTTCGTGTAGTCTAACTGGATATCTCTGAAGGTATGACACCAATTCTATGTGACGAGGTGTATTTCAGTGTGTGAAACAGTAGTGGAGTCTGGCCAAGTGCACTGTTATGGGACTGTTAGAGATGACCCATCTATAAGACTAGGGGATCTGTGTGCACCAACCTCCTCTGGTCTGTACTAGACCCAGGGTTTCTGACTAGGTGTGTCTGAGTCTTTCCCACCTTAGCACCTCGCCTGTTGCATTTCAGCGTGTGAATGTTAAGGCTTTTCTCTGACAGGAGACACCTGGCTGGGGGTGAGGAATTGAGTGGTCTCTAGGTCCCAAGAAGGAGAAGGTTCTTGTATTGAGTCCTGGGAAGGTATGGGGGAAGCCCCACTGTGTAGCCTGTGCATGGGTCAGTACTCACGACAGAAGTCCGGCCGCCTCCATTCGCCGAGCTGGGCCCCAGCGGCTTGGCAGGCTGCCACGTACGCGGCCACGGCAGGGCACAGGCCTCCCGGATGGCCCTGAGCCTGACAGGCGTCCAGCAAGCAGCCTTGGAAGTAATTCTCAGGTGGCACGAGGGTATGGCAGGGCGCCAGCGGGCCGTCGGGAGCGGAGATCACACCGCAGGCATCAGGGCCACCGAAGGGTTCCTGCTGCTCAGGCGTACAGGGCTGCGGACAGGGCCCGGGCACGCACTCCCCGCAGCCCTGGGCGCCGCCCACCTGCCAGCCGCCTGGGTTCCCGCCCACTGCGTTCAGGTCGTCTGCAGGGTCCTGGTTGTAGTTCCCGCACAGGCCACAGAGGGTGCCCGCGTATGCCGCCGGCACCCTCAGGCGCACGAAACTGTTCCCGTCGAAAGCTAACTGGAGCCCGAAGGCGGTGGTCACCACCACGTCAGCGCCGCTCAGATGCGCCCGCAGGCGCGAGTCCAGCTGGAAGGGCAGCGCCACGAGTTCGCCGTTCAACTGAGGGAGTGAGGGGGGGAGGCGTGAGCAGCGCGAATGTGGGTTCGAATCCTGACTTTACCGCCTATTAGCATGTGACCTCCCCTTGGTGTCACTGGTTCTCATGCTACTAAGAAGCAGGTTCTTATTGTAGACCCTTTTTTACAGAGAAATAAAGACAGAGCGGGGGAAACCAAAGCTCTGAAGCCCTCCATCTTGTCCAAGCTGAGCTAAAGGTGCTCAAGGGATTGGTGGCTCCTTCCTGTCTCAGGCAGTCCTAGGGCTGCCACGTGCTGCCGTCTGACCCAGAGCCCTCCTCACCTGTAGCCGCTGGGGCCAGCGGGCACTCAGGGTCAGGCTATGGTTGTAGATATGCAGAGTGACGCTGCGGGTGTAGCTGACGGCCTGGCTGCCCCTGTGCTCATTGGTCACAGTGACGTTGAAGTGCTCAGCCCCCTTGGGTGGTACATGGCAGGGTGCGCTCAGCAGGTACTCGCAGGTGCCTTGGAAGTCGAATCGGTGCCCATCTAGGGTCACGTAGTGGGGGTCACCCCAAGCCTGGCACTCAGATGTGCTGACAGGTTGGCAGCCATGCTGGCCGGAAGGCAGGAGGGCACATTCTTCACCCAGCCCACAGTTGGCAGGAGAGCAGATCAGCGAGCCACCCCCAGGTCCACAGTGGCACCGCTGGGAGCAGGTGGCATCAGCCCAGAACTCGCTGCCCGCCTCGTGGTAGGTGCCATTGGCCCAGCAGCCACAGCCGCCATCCAAGGGAACACAGTGGTCAGCACTCAACACGAAGCCTGAGTTGCACTGGCAGCCCTCGATGCAAGGGCCCTCACAGAGGGCTGGTGCTGGGGGAGGCGCCGGGGATGGGCAGCTGGCTGGGCAGCGTGGGCCACAGAGCTCGTAGTGGCTGTTGTCTGGGCAGGGAATCTCTGTGGGCAAATGAAGGAGTGAGAAGGAGAGAAACAGAAAACAGTATGAGGGTGTGGGACCCAAGGAGAGGGTGGGGGGAGAGAGACAAAGAACGACAGATACAGAGAAGGACAGACAGAGCAAGAGAGACAGAGAGGGATACAGAGAGAGAAATGAAAGAGAGAGGTCCAACAGAGACAGAGAGGTAACCGAAGGGAGGCACAAAGAGGAGGGGGAACCAAGACTCAGAAAGACTGTTGCCCACCCCCTCACTCCCGCCCTGCCCCAGCCCTGGTTTCCCCCAGCACTCACCACAGCCAGCCTGTGCCCTCCAGTCCTCGATGACAATCCCCGCAGCCTGGCAGGCAGCAGCATAGGCAGCCAGTGCCTGGCAAAGTATGTCATGGGCCCCGCCGCCCAGGCAGACGTCCAGGACACAGCCTTTGAAGAAGCTATCGGGTGGCACATGGGCATGGCAAGTGGCAAAGGGGCCCCCTGTGCCAGGGGCCAGGGGTCCACAGAAGCCAGGACCCCCATATTCATCCAGCCGGTCCTCAGGGCATGTTGGGCAGGACCCCTGACACTCATCCCAGCACAGCGGGTCCCAGCCTGGGACTCGCCAGCTGCCACCCCAGATGGGTGTTGAGGGAGCCAGAGTGCCATTAGGGAAGGCTTGGTCATTGTTGGGGTTGCGGTCCATGTTCCCACAGAGCCCGCACACTGCACCATGGTAGCTACTGGGCAGTGTCACTTCTACCCTCCAGTTCCAGTCATAGGTGACTTGCAGTCCGAAGTCAGTTGCTAGCATCGCCTTTCCTGCGCCCTGTGTCACCGAAAGCCGCCCTCCAGCCGTGGAGACAGGCAGCACTGTCAGGACACCATTCACCTGCGGGGGTGAGAAGGCAAAAAGGTCAATGAGGCTGTGTGTGGGGGTGTCCCAGCTGTGGCCCCTGCCCCCACTTCTTGTCTATCAGGGGGTGTGAGCTGCCTAGGCCTTCCTCACAACCGGTGGTTGTATCACCATTTGACAGACGTTATGGACGTCAGTTCTCATCTAGGCCCCGGGGAATGAAACATTATGACTTTTTCTTGCTCTCTCTCTCTCTCGTGCTTTATCTCCCTCCTTTCTCCCTGTCTCTCTGTGTCTCTTGCTCTCTCTTCACCTATGTCTAGCTCTTTGGATCTTCCCTTCTCTTTTCTTGAGTTTCTCTCCTCTTTGTCTCTGAGTCGGTGCCTCTGTCTCTCTCTTTCTCTGGCTCTCTCGGCTCATTCTCTGCATTTTCTCTCCAAGTCTCTCTGTCCCTGTCTTGGTCTCTCTCTCTCTGGGTCCCTCTCTTTATTGGGGTACATCTCTAGGTCTTGCTCCATATCTTACCTGCTCACTCTGTCTCTCTGTCTATCTCTCTCCCCTGTCCTCCCTTCCTCTCTCCTAACCCCTGGGCATCTCTGAGCATGGACGTCTCTCCCAGTCACTCACCATCATCTACTGAGTGCCTGCCCTGTTCCATCCTCAGTCTTCTTGTGAGCTGCAATTTATCTGCATCTCCCTGGGCCGAGAGTGTGGCCCATCGCTCTCTCCTTCTCTCCTTGAATTTTTGTCTGTGTTCAAGTCTCTGGAGTTCTCTTTTGTTCCCTCACACACTCTCTCTCACAAACAGCCCCCTTGGGTGGTGCATGGGAGGGTGTGCTCAACAGGTACTCATAGGTGCCTTGGAAGCCAGGCTGAGTTGAGCACTTTACCCACCACCTTACTGTGGCGCAAGACCTGTATGATGTCCATTTCACAGATCAGGAAAGTGAGGCCCACCCACCAAGTAAAGTCATTTGCCCAGCATCACAAAGCTTCTAACAGGAAAGTCTGGATCCAAACCTAGGTTTATAAAAAGGCAAAAGGCTGAAGTTCTATATTAAAGCCCTCAGCTGAGGACTAGGCTCATTTAAAAAGGTTGATATTTGGGCTATAATCATTGCTGTTTCTGTTTCCATTTTGTTGCAGGCCTAGGTCAAGACAGAAAACCTTGAGCTCCTAACTGTGGCTGTCAGGACCCCTCCCGCCCTATCATGATGGGGAAGGTGCTCAGGGGACCGTTCCGTTGAACGTACCCGGACTTTGCCAATTTCGCCCTTGTGGATGGAGATGTTGGTACCGAGGGCAGTCACGGTCACGAGCCGGACATAGGACACAGCAGGGTTGCCCCGGTTCTCATTCTTAGTGGTGACGGTGAAGGGTGTCAGGCCCTGGGCACTGGCCCCTGGGCAGCCAGTTGTTGCCAGCACATAGTTGCAGGTGCCCTGGAAGTCAAAGTCCCGGCCATCGAAGGAGTGGTAGTGTGGGTCACCCCACAGCCAGCATGTGGCCTCGTAATTGGGCACACAAATGCCCTGGCCTCCCTGTTCTTTGCATGTCTCCTGTGGCCGGCATGTCACACCGTGGCATGGGTCTGTGGACAGAGGAGAGAGGAGCTTGAGGGGCTGCCTACCCTAAGGATGGCTTCTCTCTATCACTTGCTCCAGCCTGTGCCAGTGTACTGCTCTGAGGGTTACTACAGATAAGACCAGATTCTAGGGGCCTCACATCTAAGATCCAGGTCCTACAGTTTGCTGTTCCCAAGACCAGGCCCTGAGAGTCTCCATGTCTAACATGCAGGCCCTGTTGTTGGCTGGGTCCCATACACAGGTGTCAGGAGTCCCCACTTCTGAGACTCAGACCCCAGAGGTTCCTGAAACCATGATCCAGGCTCTAGGGGCCTTTTGTCTGAGACTTAGGCCCCAGAGTCCCCTTGCTTGTGATTTTAGCCTCAAGATACTCAGTTTGAGACCTGAGCCCCAGGGGTCCCTGGGTCTGAGATACCAGCCTTGAGAGCACTCATGTCTGAGACCCCAGGCCCATGGCTGTCTATGGAGAGCCTTAGGCTCCTGGGAACCACCACATCTGAGTCCCAGATCCTTTCTCCTCCTGGGATTTTGGACATTAACGCACATGCATCCAGAGCGAGTTTCAAGTAAATGGATCTGGGACTTGAACTGTGGTCAATCATGTGGGAGTCCAGCTCCTTAACCACTATATTACCTGCTGGCCCCTATCCAGAGGATTTCTAACATGGGTCTTTGGGAACCTAGCCCTGAGGGTCCTATGGTCTGAATTCCATCCCAAAGATCCCTGCTTCCCAGACTGGATGGTCTATGCCCTGAGAACCCAGCCCAAGGGTCCCCAGGCCTAAGAACTCAATCCTTAGTCTTCTGACCTGCCACCATGAATATCCCAATCATACCACCCTTGCTCCTGGGCCCTTGTCCTCTGTCCCCAGCCCCACTAGCACCAGCCCCAGCACAGCACCTTTGGTAACACAGCTCAGGACTCCTTCTGAGGGCTGGCACACCTGTTCCGGCTTGCAGCTGTGTTCTTGGCATGCCATGCCTTTACCTGCATGGCACACGCACTGCTGCTGGCAGCTGTCAATGAGGACTGTCTGCCCCGGCTGTGGGGATAAAAAACATGGCCATCAGGGTCCCTCAGGTGGAACTGGACCCAGCAACTGTAGTGTTCTGGGTACAGAGGGGTCCAAGAGATAGAAAAACATTTATCAGCAGAGTAACCTCTTGGCTGTGAAACTGAGGTATAGCATGGACTTTGGGCCCAACACACTCATTTTCATTCACTTACTCTCATTTATTCCGAAACTCCCACTAAATGTTTGCTGTGTAGGAGAAACAGTGACATAGGTATCAGAAACAGAGTACCTGGTGTGAAGTCTGTTTCTGCTGTTTCCAAATCATGTAACCCTGGGCAAATCATATAACCTCTCCATCATCTGTAAGTTGTAGCTAATAATGACCCTTACCTATGAAGGCATAAGTGAGTTAATGCATGTAATGTACAGATGAAAAGGGATGTCTTTTACTAAATCCAGACTGGAGAGGAAAGAAGGATAGAGATGAAATAATATTGAGAAAATGTTGATGATTTTTGAAGCAGGGTAAAGAGTAGGCACATGGAGATTCATATGAATCATGGGTTGGCCTGTGGCCTGGCTAAAGTGGCTGGATTTCACCTGGCTGACCATGGGGTTTGACCTGGACTTGGCAGCTTGAGAAATAATGCATGTTTGCCCAAAATCATGAAAGGAGGGAGAGAGAGAGGAGAAGGTATTTTGGTGTGACCACTCCTTATGGGGAGGAAGTTTTCTCATTTTCTGTCTCTCTCCAGTGAGTGCCATGTGCCCTTTAGAGACATTAAAAAAAATTCTCTCAACCTTTGTAAGTTTGAAAATCTTCATAATAAAGCTTGTTTGCTATAAGTACCTTCCAGGGAAAAAGGACCATCTGCAGTACCATGTAAGTATCATCTGACAGTTTTAACTCCTCAATTTCCTTGTCAGTTTCAATGTGCCTTGAAGTTTGTCAGTTTGTTTTCTAATGTAAAACTACTATTTCAACAAAGAGACTATTTCCCATAGGGGAAAAAAATGATATGTATGTAATGCATACATACATTGAAACTTCAAAAAGTTCATGGAAAATGGGACTAAAGTATGAGTTTACTTTGGTGTAAAAATTTTGCAATCCCTACACAGATTTTTCAAAATATGCATTGTCCATGAATTTTTTAAAAGATCCCTCATAGGGAACCAGCAGTTAGCATAATGGCTATGTCGCTGGACTCCCATGTAGTCGACCGCGGTTCGCGTCCCGGACCCGGTGGCTTAAAACTCACGCCGGGTGCGTGTGCGCGCGTGCCCAAGATCCTGAGAGGAGAATGGAGAAGAAGGGATTGCGGAGTGACCATCCCCCCTGGGGGGTGATTTCTCGCTTTCTGTCTCTATGTCTCTCTCTCTCTGGCGAGCGCACACGCCCTATAACAAAAAACCTCTAAAAAAAAAAGATCCCTCATGTATACAAATAAAATATTTATACATGGTACTTGAAACAGTAACAGGCACATAAGTATGCACCATCTATGTATTTACTGTTATCACTGTTAACAGTTGTGTGAAAATAGAGATGTTGCTGCCCACAGAAAGCATGCAGTCCTGTGGGGGAGACAGACTGGAGACAAACATCTTAAGTCAAAGGAAAAGGACTATGAGAGAGTGGTAAGGGAAACAGAGGGAGTTAGCAGCTGGTAGAACAGAGATATCTCAGGAAGGCCACCTCTAACCAAACCTGGGATACAAAGCCAAAACTGATCTGGGAGCCAGGGGAAGGTTTTATTTATTTATTTGATTTGTTATAGGGCATGTGTGCTCACCAGGGAGAGTCAGAGAGAAAGAGAGAAGGAAGGTGAGAAAGTACGCCCAGGGGCCTGATCACACTATAATCTCTTTTCTTCCATTCTCTTCTCAGGATTTTGGGCATGCACACACATAGGTAACTGGCATATGTTTATTTTTTTCTTCCCCCCCTTCTTTTTAAGCTTTTCATCATAGGATGTGTGTGCTCATCTGAGAGAGACAGAGAGAGAGAAAGTGAGTAGGCACCCCTCAGGAGGAATGGCCACACAGGGAGGATCCAGGTGAGAGAAGACAAGTGGGACCATGGCGGGTCAATGGAGAGGCTATGGGGAACACTCAAGAGGTCAAGAGTACAGGTTACAGGGCTGACAGGCATGGGGAAGGGGTCCAGGATGAGCCTTCGTGTCCTGCCTGGATGGCTGGATTCCTACCTCGTAGTAGACACCATTGTGGTAGCAGCCGCATTGCTGGATGGGCACACAGGCTTGGCCGTTGGCGAGGAAGCCAGGGTCACACTGGCAGCCCTCAGCACATTTATCCGGGCACTGTGGTGGGGCACTGAGAGCTGAGCAGCCCAGGGAGCAGGTGTCCGCACAGAGCTCGTAGTGGCTGTTGGGAGGGCATTCCATTGCTGCAAAGAGCAAGGTGCTGGTCAGAGTCCCAGGAAGGGAGGGGCTGTGAACCCACAACCTACCCCTTCTGTGCCTCAGTTCCTACCCCTTACCCCTCAGACTTTCCCTCACTCACGACAGAAAGATTCAGTCCTCCAGGGCTCGACGTGACCTCCAGCTGCCTGGCAAGCACTCACATAGGCGTGGATATCGCTACAGAGAATGCTCTGGTTCCCACCGCCCACGCAGAGATCGAAGACGCAATCTTGCAAGGGACCCTGGGGGTCCACCAGCTTGTGGCAGGAGGCCAGGGGACCTGTGGGGCTGGTGAGAAGCCCGCAGAACTGCTCCTGCTGGTACTTCTGCTCCAACTCGGGGCTACATTCTGGGTTGCAGTCCTCGCCTGGCTTGCAAGTGGGTGGCAGGCAGGGAGATCCAGGCACTGCTTCCTCCCAGGAGTTGCCAAAATCATTGGGGTTGCCTGCCTGTGAGCCATCTGGCTTCTGAAAGTCATCCTTGGGGTCACCGTTGTAGTCTCCACACAGGCCACACATCTGTTGGTAGTAGTTGCCTGGGACAGTGACCCGCACATTGTATACAAGGTCATAGGCCACACGTAGGCCGAAGTCGGTCTCGATCACAGCATCTGAGCCATGTCGGAAGGCTCGGATCTTGCCTTCAGCCAGCACCACGGGCAGGTTCATGTCCACACCGTTCACCTGGGTGGCAGGAGATGCCATGTATCAGAAGGTACATTTGAGAGGGCAGACCCTTCTTAAGTCCCTGTCTGACATTGGAGATGGATGCGACATTACCTCTCTGGGTCTCAGCTTCCATAATGGTAAAATGGGTATGACAATAGGGTCTGATAGGGGTTGAACAGTGGTCCCCAGAAGATACGTCCTCCGGGAACCTCAGAATGAAGCCTTATTTGGAATAAGCATCTTTGCAGATGTAATTAGGATAATAATGTCCAGATGAGACCATCTAGTATTTGGGTGGGCTCTAAATCCCACGACAAGTGTCCTTATAAGAGCTAGAAGAGGAGGAGGAGAGGACATAGAGAGCAGAGGAGAAGGCCAGGTGAAGACAAAGCCAAGAACAGCAGTGCTGCTGCCACATGCCAAAAAATATCTGGTACCACCAGGAACTGGAAGAAGGCAAGGAAGGCTCCCCTAGAGCCTTTAGAGAGGATGCAGCCCTACTGATGCCTCAATTTATGTCCTCTAGAAGTGGGAGACAACACATTTCTGTTGTTTTGAGCCATCAAGTTTGTGGTAATTTGTTAAAACAGCCACAGGAAATGAATACAGTGCTCAATGGAGTAACAACCTTTCCAGCTACCCCATACTTGCTACTTGATACAGTGATCAAGAATGGAAGGATTGGAGAGGCTGGCAGGTTAAGGGCACTGGACTTCCACATGGCCAACTACAGTTTGAGTCTGAGACCTGGAGGCTTCTGTTCTCACTTTCTCTCTCTCTCACTCTGTTTCTTTGTGGTCAAACTAAAATAAATAAATAAATAAAAAATAATAAAAAAGGCCTGGCACATGGAAATAGTTAAAATAATTCCTGAAAAAATAAAGATGCTTTCTAAAAATAAAAAAAAAAGAGAGAGAGAGAATGGAAGGATTGGGACTGGCAGGGGGGGGGGGGGCTAGATTCCCCAAATGGTTGACTGCAGTTCAAATCCTGGACCCGATGGCTTGAAAATCATGCTGGCATGTGTGTATGTGTGCCCAAGATCCTGAAAGGAGTATGAAGGAGAAGGAATTGTGGTGTGGCTATCATCCCTGGGGGTTATTTCCTAATGTCCCTCTCTCTCTCTTCCCTGATGAATATATGTGTCCTGTGGCAAAAAACAAAAAACAAAAAACAAAAAAAAAAAAAAGAAGGAAGGAAGGATGGGACCAATAGGTGGTGGTTAAGGAGCTGGAGTTGGACTTCCACATGGCTGATTGCAATTCAAGTTTCGGACCTGGAGGCTTGAAACTCATGCCGTTGCATATATGTGCATGTCTAAAATCCCAGGAGGATAATGGACGAGAAGGGATTGCAGCTGGCCATCCCCCTGGGAGGTGAGTTCTTATTTTCCCTCTGTCTGTCTCTCCATTCAGTGCATGTGCCCTATGGCAAAAAACTTAAGAAAGGAATGCAAGGATTGACCCTGAAACACTCATTATTATTACTAGCTCTCTCTCTCTCTTTTTTTTTTTTAAAGAATGATGTGTTTAATTTTAGCTATGATTATTATTCAATTCAACCAGAGAGAAAGCAAGTTGCCAGGTCCAGACTTGAACTGTGGTCGGCCACGTGGGAGTCCAGCACCTTAACCACCATGCCATCTGCTAGCTCCTCTTTTTTTTTTTTTTTTTAAGTTTTTGCCTTAGGACTAGGGTTTTTGCTTTAAGTATCAGTGGCTGGAAAGTCAGGCTTCTGACTTGAGTCTCCTGAAAACATAATTGAGGTGGGAACAGCAGTTAGCGTAATGGCTATGTTGCTTGCTGGACTCCCATGTAATCGACCGTGGTGGCTTAAACTCACGCTGGGTGCGTGTGCGTGCATGCCCAAGATCCCAAGAGGAGAATGGAGGAGAGGGGATTGCGGCATGGTCATCCTCCCGGGGGGGGGGTGATTTCTCGCTTTCTATCTGTCTCTCTCTTATCTTTCTGGCAAGTACACATGCCCTATAGCAAAAATCTCTCCAAGCCCCCCCCCCCAAACCCCCCCCCCCCAAAAAAAAAACAACCCAAAACATAATTGAGTGCCATCCTTCCCAAACATGGCTGGGCAGTGGTGAAGGGCAAGTGACTCTACCTCTCTGCCTCACTTTCTTCATCTAAGGAATGATAATATTAATAGTTTCTACCTCATAGGAAAGCTGGGGTATTCAGTGAGATGCAAATACCAAGAACACCAACAACTCATGTGTATTTAGAGCTAACTATATGCTAGGTTCTACTCAAGGAGCTTTGACTATATTAGGGAATATATTAGGTTGTGGAACCCACACCTGGTGCACTGTGAGGCCCTGTTAATCAGTGACCCATCAACAGCCTCAGGAGTACTGCTGCTAGGACAGTGGCTGTGGCCCACATCTTGGCAGCTCTCTGGGGAAATCCCTCCAGAGTGGCTGAAATGCCAGTTTCGGACAAGTGCCACGAGTGGCACAGGGTACATACAGTGTGCTACCTCCTGCCATGGTCGTGGTTCAGGTCCTGTCTTTTCTGGGGGAATTTAGGTCAGAAATGAGACCTTTCCCTCTAAAGAATTTAAAGCAAATTGTGGTGCTTCTGGCCATTGCTGCAAGGATAAAAGGAAACTGCAGATGCAAGGCTTAGCAGCCATCAAGGCCTGGGGCCAGCCATGTGAAGTCTGCAACTGTCCATGTTGTTAATGGGGGTAAGACCCTCAGACTACCCTTAAACTTTTCCCATCCTTGAACTTTTCACTTTCTTATTACACCCCATGCTGCCAGTAGGTGGGAGACCCAAGGAAGTGGCTAGGATGAGGGTGGGGGTGGGGGGTGAAGATGGAGTAGAAGGGAGGAGGTGAGGCAGGTGGTGAGGAAGGAGATAACTTTCAGAGGGATAGTAAATAAATAGAACAAGGGACAGAAAGAGGGGAGACTGAGGGACAGAGAGAAGGGGAGACTGAGGGACAGAGAAAGGGACACTCAGCAGCCAGGTCCCTGAGGCCTCCTCCCTCCTTGGCCTCCACTTTGGGCTCTAATGGGCATTTCTTTTCCTCACAGACCCCACGCTTCTCACATTCTCTCGCTCCCCTGTGCCCCCTACAGAGTCCCACATCATCCCAAGGCCCCTCCCAAACGTGTTGCCTTTGCTCTCACCGTGACTTTCCATTTCTTCTGTTCCAGCCGAAGGGTGAAATTAGCCACTTGCACTGTGATCGCCTTGGTCACACTGACTTTCCCATTGCCCCAGGCCACGTTCTCCTGTAGGACGGCAAACTGGTGCAGGCCTGGCCGGGTCCCGCAGGTCTGAGCCAGCACATATACACATGTGCCCATGAAGTCAAAGCGTCGGCCATCGAAAGTGGTGTAATGAGGGTCTCCTGATGCCTGGCAGGTGGTAGAACCCACAGCCACACAGCCTAGGATGCCACCGGACGGCTGACAGGCCTCATGTGGGCCACAGGTGGAGGGCTTGCAGGATACCAGACCACCTTCCTGGCAGTGACAAAGGGAATCGCAGCCAGGTCCGGGATGGAAGGTCTGGCCTGGTGGATGGTAGACACCCTGGTGTACGCAGCCGCAGGAGGCCAGGGGCACGCAGGACTCACCACTGAGCACGAAGCCCTCATCACACACACAGCCCTCATAGCATTCCGAGCCACAGCCCCCGGGCACTGGGATGTCTCCACAAGATAGTAGGCAGCCATAGGAACACTCTTCGTAGTGGCTATGGGGCGGACAAGTAAGTGCTGCAGGGAGAAGAGTCATAGGGGTCAGAAATTCCTGCTCCTGAGGTGAAATAGTTGACCCCCAACACATTCACACACACACACACACACACACACACACACACACACACACTACACACTCACACATAAGAGATCCAGTTGCAAGGAGCTGTGTTCAGTGGGGTCTGGATGATACAGTTACCCTGATTCTGATAATTAAGATTTAATTGCAATATAACTATAGATTGGGGTTATCTCTAATGTCTTTAATGATCTCATTTAAGTTGGTTATAGGTTGTTGATACATGGTACATATTTTTTTTTTGAGAGATTTTGCTATAGGGCACATGTGCTCGCCAGAAAGACAGAGAGACAAAGAGATAGAAAGCAAGAAATCACCCCCCGGGGGGTGACCATGCCGCCATCCCTTCTCCTCCACTCTCTTCTTGAGATCTTGAGCACGCATGCCCACGCGCCCACCGCGAGTTTAAGCCACTGGGTCTAGGACTCAAACTGCGATAGACTACATGGGAGTCCAGTCATGTAATCATTCCGCCATCTGCTGGTCCCCATGGTACATATTTTAAACATGCAGATGCTTGTGTATGTACGTGAATAATCTATGCAGTGTATTTGTGAATGTAACATTTTCAATTCTGCCTTCTATAATAGTAATTAAATATTTAGCCAGTATTTAAAGAAAACAAAACAAAACCTTCCTGATCCCCTCCTCAAACTCCAGTTCCTCCAATCTATTAAAAACAACAAACAAACCAGGGACTATTCACAATGGACAAAACTCTGTACCATATGTACCATTGTGTATTGCATATCCATTGAATGTATTTAAAAGTAACACAATCAAGGGACCAACAGATGGCATAGCGGTTAAGGCACTGGACTCCCACATGGCCGACCACAGTTCCAGTCCCAGACCTGGTAGCTTGAAAATTATGCTGGGCCTGTGTGCATGCGTGCCCAAGATCCCAGGAGGAGAATGGAAGAGAAAGGATTGTGACATGGCCATCCCCCCTAGGGGTGATTTCTCACTTTCCCTCTCACTGTCTTGTCTTTGTCTTTCTCTCTGATGAGTGCATGTGCCCTATGGCAAAAACCTCTTTTAAAAAAAGCAACACAAACAAGCAACAATTTTATTTTAAAATGTTAATAACTGCAGAAACTAGATGATGGATATTGTATATGAGGGTTCACTATCCTAGTCTACTTCAGGATCCATTCTAATTTTACCATAAAAAAAGAGTTTTTAAAGTTGAGCCAGCAGGTGGTGTTGTGGTTCAAGGTGCTGAACTCCCACATGGCTGTGTTTCAAGTCCTGGAGCTGGGGGCTTGCTTCCTTATTTTCTCTCTCTTATGAGTGCATGTGCCCTGTAGTAAATTAAAAAATAATAATAATGGGGCCAGAAGGTGGCATGGTGGTTAAGGTGTTGGTCTCCCATGTGGCCAACCACAGTTCCAGTCCCAGACTGAGTGGCTTGCTTTCTTATTCCCCCCCAACTCCCATTTCTCTATGGTGAGAATACCTGTGCTATAGCAAAAAATTTAAAAAATAAAATAAAACAAGTAATTCTGAAAAAAAAAGATAAATAAAATTAAATAATTCTTTTTTAAGAAAGCTAACACTTACCACTTGCTGGAAATTTTATCTTTTGCAATTAAGATAAAAACTAGACCTGTGGGACCAGCAATTGGCTTAATGGCTATGTTGCTGGACTCATTGTAGTCGATTGTGCTTCAAGTCCCAGACCCGGTGGCTTAAACTCATGACAGGTGCATGTGTGTGCATGTCCAAGATCCCAAGAGGAGAGGGGACTGTGTCATAGCCATCCCCCTTGGGGAGTGATTTCTCACATTCTGTCTCTCTGTCTCTTTCTGGTGAGCGCATACATCCTATAGCAAAAACCTCTCCAAAACAAAACAAAACAAAAAACAACTAACCAACCAAACAAAAATGAGACCTATAACATGATTCCATTTATATAAAGTTTAAAAATTTTAAAGTCAGAATAGTGGTTACCTCTTGGGTAGGAGAACTTATCTGTTCTTTTTCTTGAATTTGAGATTGTTTATATAGATGTGTTCTCTTGTTGAAAACTGATCAAGGTATCTGCTTATAATAGCTATATAATTTTTAACAATAAATTAAAAATATATTTTTAAATTATATTTCAACAATAAATTAAAAAATTAAAAAAATCATTGGACCAGCTATGTGGCATGGCTCAATCTGAAACATGCTGGACATGTGCATAAATGCCCAGGATCCTATAGGCTGGAGGACAGAGAAGGGGATTGACGCACAATCAGATCCTGTGGAGGGTACTTGTCTCTCTCATGTATATGATTTATCATGAATAAATACCATTTTTTATAGGGTACATGCACTCAGAGGGAGACAGAGAGGGAAAGTGAGAAATCACACCCCAGTGGAGACAGCCCTACCACAGTCCCTTCTCTTCCCAACATTTTGGGTACCCATGCGTATACGCCAGGCATGGTTTTCAAGCTGCTGGGTCCAGGACTTGGACCCTACAGCTGACCAAATGGGATCCAGTTCCCTAACCTCCATGTGACCTGCTGGCCTGAATAAAGAAGAGATTTAAAAATATTTAAAAATCAGATGGGCGATGTATGACTTTCTAAACTCTTTTTAGAGGTAAACAAAACTGTTTGAATATCATTCCCACACCCACATCTGAGGCAAGGCAATCCACTGACTGTCTAAGTGGCCAGGTAGGTGTGTGAATAGTGAAGTAAAGCAGAGAGGAGAGGGCTGGGCTCCAGTGTTTTACAGGAGACATAGGCATGTGCTCTTGCGGGAGACAGAGAGAGAGAGAGAGACAGAGAAACAAAGTAGAAATCCCCCCCGGGGGGGGGATGGCCACACTGCAATCCCTTCTCCTCCATTCTCCTCCCAGGATTTTGGGCATAC